GAGAAACCTCCAGCTAGGCAAGTATGTGTGAGCTAAGAACTAAGAGTATTTAATGGCGAGCATAAAATTTGAGAGGTACTGAAATTAATTTTTCTATAGTAACACTATTAAAAAGGATGGCTAGGGTCCTATATCATTGCTCAAATATCTATTTAACCTGTAACATTCCTGATGGATTTCCCTATAGCAAGGCTGCTATTTGCAGTATAGGCAGGTTTATGGGGCAGTCAATGTCTTAGTTGCACAGTGACCCTCATACTATATGAGATTATGAATTTAAAATGCTTGTGTGAAATTCCAGCCACACAGTCCCCCTGCCTCAGCCTTGTTATGACATTAGGGCCTCCCTTTACTTCTCTGGTTTATTGGGTTGTCTTGTTAATGTGTTTCAGCCCAGGCAAGTTCGCTATGGATTCAGTGTGACCAAAGAAATTGACCACAAAACGCTCTTTGGGGTAAAAGGGTCTTACAAAACTGCCGTCCGGACCCATCTCTCTCTCTCCTGCTCAAGCAGCAACCACCGGCCCTCTCTCTCTCTTCTCTGGTACAGATAAGCCCTCTGTTCCCCAGGTAATTACCCATTGATATGGAGATGAAAGATGCAAATGCACTAAAGCCTTCTTCTTTACACCTCTGAGTGCCTGTTGATATGCAGCTGTACCAAAGCCAGGTGAGATATTCTGGAAATACTACAATTTTACCCACATGGGTGTTGTCAGTAGTGTCTGAAGCCCCTATTGGTGGCTCCTGTGGCATAGACTCTGGGAGATTAGGGATTTGTATTTATGAGTTTAGGGAGAGGGCAGCAGGGAGGAGGGTAATAACAAGGATTTCAGGAACCCAGAGAATAAGGAAGAGGCATGATTGCTTCTCACTGTGAACTGGCTTCCTATACGCTCCTTTCCCCACCAGGATCTCAGTGCTGAACCCGTTTGCTTTTCTTTACATTTACACCACCCATGAGGTCTGATACATGTCCCTCTTCCCTTTAAGACTAGCACTGGAGAGAGCACAGCTTCTCTTTGGTTTGCCAGTTCCAGCACTTTAATTCTCTAAGAGATTTTGCTGCTAGTTGTAAGATAAATTCAGGCAAAATAAGCAGGCAAAGAGAGGCAACAAAGGGCCAGGTAGTTATTTGAGTGCAACTCCCAGGTGATGTTACACAGTCTGGGTATTACAGGCCGGGGAAGTCATACCCGGTCAGGGAGGTGGAGGCTTATAAAGGATTAGGAGGGGGAGGAGTGGGCAAGCTATCCTAGGGGGCGTGGAGAGGTATGATTGGCTAAAGGTGACATAATAGACAACTAGAAAATTTTTTTCCTCCCAAGAGGGAGGAGGATGACATCCGGGTCTTAGTTGGCACATCAGGATGGAATTCAGGGAGAGCTGTCCCCTTTCCATATAAGGCACGGACCTTGGGGTCTGGTCTGTTTCTCCCCTATGGCATCTCTCTGTTCTGTTTGCATGTCCTTGTTTTTCCTTCCTCCAGCCTAACACTAGTAATAATATGGAGTATACAACATTTTATTTTAAAAAAAATACAAGTTTCTATTTGTAGAGCCATCCTTCCTCTTTTATTTCTTAGAAATAAAGCTAAAGAAAAAAACTGAAGTAACTAAAGAAATTAAAGGAAGAAACAAAAGCACACAGTCTTTGAGCATTCAAAAGACAGACTGATAAAATTCAGTTATAGTTAAGGGAATAATTAGATTCAAGAATTCCCAAGGACTTGTCATGTTAGGAGGTGGATTAGTGGCCTCTGGGCAGGAGACAGAGAGGGGAGGATGAAAGGCAGATATGCATGATTTACCTTCACTTCCTCCATTTCCTTACATTACTAATCTTGCCACAAGGTCAGAGTTACCCTCAAGTTGTATACGAAGTCAGGACTGGATTTAGCCTTGTTAAGGGGAGGTGAGTGACATTAGCGGGGTGATCTATGAGAAGCAGCAGCTTGGAAGCAAAGGGATACAGCCACCTCTCTGGCATATTCTTTCAGGGAATATTTTGCATGTATGTAAGTCAGGTCCTGTCTACATTTATCCTTTCATTCAACTATTAGTGAATTAGTGCTATGACAAATACTGGGGAATCAGAGAGGCAATAGATATATTTAAAGATGCTCATGTAATCATTAATATTATATGTTTTGATAACTAAGCTCAGTTGTCATGCTTAGTAGAATAACAATTCTGCATAGCAAAAATGATTTCATCGGCCATAAAGTAGAGGATTCTTCCTGTAAGTCAGGTGTCATCAAGCTTTTTCTATAAAGGGCCAACTAGTAAATATTTTTGACTTTGCAGGCTATCTGGTCTCTGTTGAAACTATTCAGTTCTGCAGTTGCAGTGTGAAAGCAGCCATAGACAATACCTGAATGACTATGCATGGCTGTGCCAATAAAATTTTATTTATGGACAGGTGAATTTCATATAATTTTTATATATATAAAGCCACACAGCAGGTCAGAGTTGCAGGAGAATAAATAAATGAATTACAAGCATTTAATTGTTTCACTGCAACAGTTCTCTGCTGTATATCAAATATAGGTTGTTTAAGGGGAAATTTAATAAACTAGTAGTTTCTGATGAATAAGAGGCAAAAGAATACCCTTGCATTTCATTAGTTATTGTAGTTACACAGTTCTACATACAGACTGCTATGGCCTCAGAACATTTGTGTAGTCTCCAACAACCCTGGAAAGTTTTATTTGGACTGAGGTTTGACACTATTTGGAAAACCCTGGAAAGAGTAAGTATGTGTAAAAAGGTTAGGTTTATTTAATAATAATAGCTAACATCTATTGATTTCTGACTACATGCCAACACTGTACTCATTTAATCCTCATGATAATTATATAAAAAGAAAGTCTGTAACTATCTCCATTTTATAGATTAAAAAAAATAAGTAAAGCACAGAGAGATTAAGTAACCTGCCTGAATGTTTAGGCCAGAATTCAAATTCAGGTAGTCTTCTCAAGGCTGAAGGAATTAAATGAAAACTAACATTTGTACAGAGTTGTGGGACTGGAAATGTTGTTGATAGTCAGGTTTAACTTGCTAATTTTATAGATGAAACAAATGAGTCTTAAAGTTAACAAGACTTCCCAAGGTCACATAGCAAATGTGAGATGAGGAGTCGATGTCAGATCTCCTAACTACTTGGTTGCTTAGTTTCTTTTACTCTGCTATACTTAATGCCCTTCAAAATAAAAAACTGGGCAGAATAGAATGAGTAACATCTCAAACTTTGGATAGATGTAGAAGTTATGTGGGACACAGAAAAATCTTCATGTAGGGTCTAAAATATAAAATAAACCATTTTAAATGATATTTGAATTAATAATTAAAATACCAATTAAACTGTAATTACATTAGACAACACTAAAATAGTTTTTTTAAGACAAAGTAAATTTTAAGCCCCTCACTTTTATGATGAGACCGGAATAAATAATGTAATTGAATTACATCTTTCAAGTTAGAGAAAGGAGGGTAACTCAAACTTTTTTTTTATGTAGGTTTTTATTGCCAAACAAAGTAAATATACATTGTAAAAACCTTTGGGAAAGTAAAAGGAAATAAAAATTAGTAGTCCTCCCATCCAAGTATGAAGTGCAAAGGCTTGCTTTTTTGTTTATGTTTTGCCACAACAAACTTATATGAAAAACACAGTAATTAAAAAAAAATACTCTTTTTGGGTGGAGAGTTTCTACATTCATTCATTTAACATTGAACACCTAAACTGGAACTAGCACTGTGCTAGACAACTTGGGAAACACAGACGAACAGGACAGTCAGTCTCTAAGAGATTTACAGTACATGGGAGGAGATATATAAACAGATGCTTATCAATAATAATAGTAAACTTCTGTTAAAATACAATAAGAGTTGACTCTTTACTATTGCTGACACTGATCATTTTGGAATTCTTAGATTTCTCCAAAACAAATGCTCAAACGCGGTACTTGGTTTTAGTATGATTAGCCGCACTGCTTCAAAATGTAGGTTAAGGTAAACTTAGGTGAAAACATTTCATTTTAGTACTTGTCAAGTGTTTGAGCCGTTCAAAAGTACCTTGCTTGGCGAGTTGGAAACGCTCGTGGGACTCGGTTAAGTGCTGCTCCGGGATGGAGATCTTTAAGTAGTTGGTTGGCTGGAGCCCTGACGGGCTGCCTGCGGGAGCGGTGCTTGCTGGGATTTGTAGTCTCTAGAAGGACGGAAGCCACTGCAACTCCATTTATAATGCTTTTCTCCTTTCGAAGCTCTGGACCCTCAGTCGGATCAAACCCTGCTCTAAGGCACAATTTGATAACTCTTACCTCATTCTGGTCTTGTTATGTTTCTACCAGGTTCCCCATGTTCAACACTCAAAAGGACGGAGTCGCTCACAAGCCTCAAAGAGATTGGCCTGTCCTGAGAAGTGGGCGGAGCTCCAACTGGACTGGAACTCGGGACTGACCAGTATCTGAGAAGAGGCGTTTTCATACCCACTAGCCGAGTTGTATAGTGTGGTAAAACCGCAGTTCACCTCGTTCCCCGAGACATCTCGCGATATTTCGAGCGAAGGGCTCTAGAGATGCGTAGTGGGCGGTGAAGGCCAGTGGGGGCGGTGCGCACTGGTGCTGAAAGGGACGACTCAGGCGGGGAAGGCGAGCGCGTGCTGCCTGCGCTACTTGGGCTCTCCCGGCGCTACCCACCTGGAGCCCGGCGCAAGTGTGTGGTCGCCGCGGCCCTGCAAGTGAGGCGGCCTGGGATCTCGGCCGCTGAATCAACCGGGAGCTTCACCTGGGCCCGCGCGGGTTGTGACAGGTGCGCGGACGAGCGCAGCGCTCCGCCCGCTCGCCGGCCCGCCCCCTCCGGGCCTTGGAATGATCTGCGGACCCGGCTGAGCGGTTCTGGCTCCTGGCGCCTGGCGCCTGTCACTGCCGTTGCCGCCCAAGAGCGGACGCCGCCCCTGAGAAAAGGAGGGAGGCAAGCGGCTGCCGACCCCGGGCATGAGCTGGACGCGGCGTCCGTTGCTGGACTAAAGCGCGGACATGAACCTGCACCAGGTGCTGACCGGGGTTGTGAACCCCGGCGACGGCTGCTTCTCCGTGGGCAGTGGCGGCGACCAGCGCTTCAACGGTGAGTGAGGGAGGCTCCCGCGTCGCCCGTGGCCGGTCTGCGCCCCTGAGTCAGCCGGGCTCGGCCCAGATGACGGGCGGAGGCCAAGAACGCCTCGTCAGCCCGACGGGGGCGCCCGCGTCCCCCGCAGAGGTCCCCGCGCCTAGCGCCGGGTGGACCTGGCCTTTGAGAGCGAAGGAAGCTTTAAACATTCTGCTCATTGAAGTGCTTGTACGGAGCCTGAACTCAGAAGTTAGAATGTTTCTTAGGATTTTTAAAGGTTTAGTCCGACGTCCTTGCTCTGGGATGGTTTGCCTAAGTCGTTTATCCAAAAATCGTTGTGTAACGTGTGTGTGACAGGCTTTTGATTACCCCACTAGATAGACTCAAATTGTCGAGTTTAGAAATAGTTGGGATTGGTTTCATTTCTTTATTGTAAGTTAAGGTCATATATCTGGGTAGTTTAAAAAAAGGAGGTGTCTTGAAACAATTACTGATTGCTATTGATGTTGGGGTTCTTGTTCACGAAACAGAAGATTGAGCTTCACAGTCAAGGTAGGAGAGCAAGGACAGGCTTTTATTTAGAGATAAAGTGAAAGAACAGAGCTCCCGGCTTACGTTAGGAGGGGACAAGAGAGTCCGTGGTGGTGCGTTGTGTAGGGGATTTATAGGTAGTTGAGAGACCCAAGAGTTAGGGAGGTGAATCTACTAGATGGTCTCTAAATGTTTATTTTTAAGGAGACACTAAGTTTCTTATTAGTTTTCTAGTCTATTTTGTGGAGTTAACATAAGAAATTTACTGTTCTGATCTTTTCTCAGAGTAGTAGTTTCTTGGTTTGGGAGCGTATCAGTCAAGGCTGCTTGTTTTGCTTTCAGGGTGAGCTGAGTTACTGACTTGATTAGGGCTGGAGAAGGAAAAGCAGCATCTGGGTAAAGTTAAAGATAAACTGGGCCTCTCGGCAGGCTAAAGTAAATTTTACAATAGCCTCATTTAATTGACACAAATAAGACATGGGCTATGCTGAGGTATTTTCTTATCTGGGGGATGTTCAAACATTTTAGGCCAGGTTATTCTTGGTCTTTTTAGTTTCAACTAATCTTCATTGAAGAATGCTTATATTCCTAGTTTGATATTTTACTTTAGAAAATTAATGTGACTGTCTTTGTTTAATTGTTTAATATGGAGTTTTGGTAGGGGGTCTTTTTCTGGAGGCCCTCACCCTAGTCTGACTACACCCACGGTCCCTGTCTCACTATCAACAACTAGCACTGAGTAAAAAATATAATGAAAACAGAGCTTTTCATTTATTTTTCCTCCAGTTCAGTGAGGAATAACTTTGGAAAGAAGAAAACATTTTTTTTCCACAAATAATTCACTCGTGCCATCCTGTGAATTCCATATGTAACAGTTTAGAAGTCCTGGGAAATGTTTATTATTTTAGATTGCTCACATTAATTACTGAAATCTGTTTTTCAGTAAAACTGTTTGCTATGTCGTGGTAATTTCAGGTTAACTTTTATTGATAGTGACTTGTTTTTCATTCTTCCCCAGATATTGGAAGGAAGAGGGCCCTAAGCTTTGGCTACTTACCAGTAGTGTGGCATTTTCTGCCTCAACTATACTTTTTAATAATAACTTCAAACTGTCAGTCAGTATTGCTCATGATACACTTTATCTAAACATATTTATAATGCTGATTACTTTTGCTACAACTGTGTAGCTCTCTTAGTTGTGATTAAAAATGAAACTTGACTTTACATATACAAGTGAGACAAACAGCTTACCAGATGCCCCAAGTTTTCTTCTCTACTTTTGAGTTTCTTTGTGGTTGTTGTCAGTCAAAATAAATAACAGAAGAAAAAGTAGTCATTTTTGAACATGGTATAGGCATTTAGTGCCTGAATTGTGCTTTTAGATCTGTCCCAACCAAGTTCTTTGCTTTTATAGATAGTTCTGTACCTCCCCATGGAGTGATGCATGCACACCTTAGTTGGCACTTTAGTTTTAGAGATTCTAATTCTAAATATTAACTGAGTCTGAATACTCAGGAGAAGAGTGAAGTCTCAGGGTCTCAGGGAGCAACTATAGTTAGCTGTAGTTAGACATTGCTTGCAGTTCTTGCTATTTAGCAGGTGGAATAAACAGCATCCTAAGGGGGTTTTCCTCTGCGAGATTATAGGATGGTAACAGTGCATTCTCTGCCATCCCCTAAAGTTATATGAGTGTTTTCTCCAGTGTAAATTCTAAGAACTTTTTCTGACAAGACATTCGGAGCCTGTGTAAGCAATGGTGTGAACAACTAAGTGTATACAATATGACAGCCTTACACCTAAATGACTCCTCCAAGTGTATATAAAACCTAGGTGAATGCTTCCATGTTACTTTAAAGGAGAGGTGAGTTGATGTGCCAAAGATTATATGGTTGTCTTACACTGTCTTGCAGTTTCTAGGTTAGTCCTGCTGAATTTTAAGTCTGTTTCCATAGACGTGCTTACTGCAGATTTCTTCTAGATCTCAGGAAGCATTCCAGTAATAAGGTAAAAATAAATTTATTTTTGTTTATTGTGAAGAGATCCGGTTTTCTGTAATTTTGTGGTAGTTTTAGGATGAGCAGTCATCTTTTTCCTTTGTAGCCAATCCATCCCTGACTCTCTAACATTAAGTTGATAGTTCTGTTACAAATTAAGTTTTGTTGCCCTCAGTTTCTTAGACACTATATACTTCTTAAATTTCTCTCTCTTGAAATTGCCCAAAGCAGAATCTGTTGTTTACTTCTTGAATTTTGTTTTTAACCTTTGCTGATTTGACTTCTTTTTCTTTGATAGGAATATAGTAAACATTAATGGTAGATGTTATGTGCAGATTAAAAAAACATCTCTAAACTCCAGTTTTACTTGAGGTTAGGGACATAAGATCTAACTTTGTCAGGCCCACCTGAAGAATTCTTTTATGCCTCCTGGCACTTTGTGCCTTCTCTGAAGAGAGTTCTGTGTTTGTAATTCCTTCCTTTGCATGTTTTCAGATTATTTACCCATTTTTGTTTAGAAATATTATGAGAGATAAGATCCTGTTTTCTGTATAGTCTGACAGGTTTTTAATTGAAATGAAATTGAATGCTAGTTCTCATGGATTTTTGACTTTAAAATATGCAATTACTAATACAATTAGTATACCTAAGTATACATCTTTACTAAAGTAGCATCAAACTACTTTGACTTTATTCTTAGAATGAAAGCTTCTAGGAGGCAGCAACTATGTTTCTTATACTTTCAAAAGCACTTTATTTTCACTTTCATTATATTATTAAACAGTTTTGCCTGGTGTATATCTTCCACAGTTTCATTGTAAGCCCCTAAAAGAGTGATTAAGTACTAGTGACACCTAATAGTGGGTTCAATTGCCAACCTAGTCCCTTATAGTTAGTTACATATCCATGGGAAAGTTATTTTACACTGTTTTTGTCTTATCTGTAAAATGGGGCTAAAGTAGTACCTATTTGTAAGGTTGTTACATTATAAAGTCCTGCGGTCTAAGTTCATTACTTAGTACATGTGAAGCTCTTAAAAATGTCAGTTATTATAAAATGCAGGTTGTATCCATTCTAATGCTTGGCTCATAGAAAGTGCTTGATAAGTACTGACTGAATTGGTGAATAATGAAGAAGCCTGTTTCAATAATTTAAAAATTACTGTTTTAAAATAGATTTAATAATTTAGATTTAAGTCCAAATAAAATATTTCTATTGAAAGTTTCTTTAACTTTTTTCAAATTTGGTTTATATTTCACCACCATTATCCGGTGAGCAATTAGGGAAGATTTCACATATACTAAGTGAATGCTTCCCTCACTCCTTTCTCATTAATTTACTACTGTTTTTAGAATGAAAGTATGTGAGCAATGTGGCCCTTATCTGTTGACAACTTTTGTTTTTAGAATAAAAAATATTTTATTAAAGACAATAAATGAAAGTCACAGTTAATTAGAACCTAGATTTTTCTAACATTTCTGTGCATATAACAATATGTGTTTTAATATACACAATATTCATGTTGTAGTTGATCCATAATTAGTGTTCAAACTGTGATTTGAATGAAATGGAAATGAGGTAATTTGTAAGAGACAGATTGTGTTAATATTTAGGAATTCCTATCTCTAGTTTGGAATTTAAACACCTTTGCTATAGGTGGGAAAACAAGCATAATATATAGTTCCAGGCTCTCTTCTGTATTAGACATCCCAGTGTTCCTAGCCAAAGAGACCCAGAGTAGAAGTCAAAAGACTGACTGTAGCTCTCTGGGTATTGGTTGAAAAATGCAGGCTGCATTAGCACTCTCCTTCCTCAGCTTTCTGTGATAGTAAACATCCTTTAGTTTAACTGTTTTTTTTTGTTCACTCTAGGGAAGCCTTCATTGGTGGGAGGGTGAAAAAGTTTTTGTGGGGGAAGGCATGTGGGTCTTTGTGGGTGGAGAGAATACAGAAAGGGAAAGTTTGATACTGTTCGCATCTGGAGAGAGAGAAGGATTTTTATGGTGCTCATATGTCATTACAAATACTAAATTGGGCTTCCCTTTGTAAAACTTGGCCTATTTTAAAATATTCTGTTTAAATAGTATTAAAGGACCTTTAATATTATTGAACTAATACTAATTTCTACTTTAAAAAAAAAA